TTTTGGCATTTATTATATATTATTTATTTTTCATAAATCTTCCTGCCTTTGCTCGAGGGTCAAAAACCACATTTCCTGTTTCTTTGTATATCAAAAACTAAGTGGTATGTTCCACATATGATAAAGATGTGATAATTTCATGATAAAGATGGAATACGTACTAATGTCAATGAAGTTGGTCATAATGATGATGATAATGATGTTCTTCTTAAATAAAAGAATATTATGGGAACTCATAAAACAAGGAATGCTTGCTGACATAATATATGTAAAATGCCATCACAGTATTTCACATAGTAGCTATTCGAACAATATTTGTTTTCTGCCTCCCCAACTAAATTTCCTTCTCTTTCCCTAGAGTGTTTTAGCAATGGCTTCACAGGCAAAGTAAGACAACCCGACTATGAAAGACAGAAAAGATTTCTATAATTTTTTTTTTAAAAAGAGGTAAATTCACACCAGGTAGAAGAGAGCATCTGAGCAAACACACAGAAGTACTCCAAATATGTTGAGGACACGAGTAACTCCATCTGGCTGCAATGAGTGTTCAGATAAAAAAGAAGCAGATTAGGTTGGAAGGTTGTGACAGGACAAGACAATGAATGTTCATAAAATTAGGCTAGACATTTGGATTTTATCCTAAAGATCCCAATGAAAATTACTGAAAGTATAGGAGTGACACACTGAAAGTGATATTTTACGAAGAAAAACTTGTAGTGTTATCATAGATGAATTGAGCAGAAAAACAAAATCTATTTCAGCTAATTACCACATGAATCAAGTGATATATTTCCTCAAAATCTAACCTTATAAAGCGCTTGGAACTTTGCATATGAAATAAAGTATACATCAACACAATTGTTTAAAGAAGCAGATGCCATTATTTGAACCCATTTGAAAAATGGGTTCTTAGCAATCTATTGTGCTTGAATAGAAATGTATAGATTGTTCTGCTCATCGAATCTGCCCATATGGCTACAGAGACAGATTGACTGTAACTAATATTTGATTATATGTAGGACACATATTTTAATAATCACAGTATTGATATTTTTATGTCGACATAAAACATGGCTTTGAGGGTCTAACTCAAGAAAATGGAAAAGACTGATGTAGTGTCTGAGAAATCATTTCATAAATTTAACTGATAATAAATAACTTTGAGGATAATGTCTGATATAGAGACTGAAGAGAGCAAAAGACAGAGAGAAATCAGACAAATGGACACAACATTTGTTTCAAGGAAAAGACATATAATGTGGTCAAAAATGAATCTCAATTGAAAAGGAGAAAAAAGGGATTAGAAAACATGTACCACTAAGAATTGGCATCTCAAGTTTAATAATGAAATGCAATAGCATTTAGTAAAAATGGAAATAAAGTCAATTTTTATATGCATCCTTCTTTAAATTTACAGTATATCTCTGGGTGGCTCCTCAAACATGTCATTCCTTCAAATACAATGTAGAGAAGTATGATATACTACTGGAAACCTATCCTGTTATCTATTAGCTACACATGAAAATCACTAAGTCTTAAGCATTCATAAGAAAATGGAAGCCTTTCTAATTTAGCTGCACTTTCATAAGGCAAGTGTGTTCAAAGGGTACAAAATATAAGTGGACTGTGGTTTACTCTTACAACCATTTCCAATTCATCAACATTTATGAGGCTTTCACAAAGGGATTACCATGTATCATAATATTACTTGTTGGGAAAGACATAGTGCAGACTTCTGTCAAGAGTCTCAAATCACTTTTTATCCACTTATAAGAAAATCAAATTGAAAACAGATGCAACTCATTTTATTAGAAAATACAGATACTACCAATATGTGAATAAAAGTAGATAACTGAAAGCTACAGAATATGCCATAAGTGAAGTTTCTGGCCTCTTAGGTTGCCAGATATAAGAAAAAAAAAATCTCTAATTGTCTAACTATGAGAAATGTTCTCATGAGATTAGAAATGATCCTCTATTATGATGACAGAAGGAATAAAACTAGAATAATGTGAGAGTCTTTGGATTGTGCATTTTTATCAACACAATAAATTTTTCAAACCATTAGGGAACTGTTTATAGCACGTTAAAAGTTTTAATGTAAAGATGGTTCTCTAAAGATTTGTAGCAGTTTATATCTACAAAGGGCCTTTGAGACCATCTAATCCAGCTCCTTAATTTGATAGATGAGGAAACTGATATTTGAAAGAATTCCCGTACTTTTTAAAAACCTAACCAGACTGATTCTGGCTCAACAGATAAATTTTTATATAACCCTCGTGTGTTTCTGAAAACACTCTTGCAGTTTAAAGATTTTGCACCCTATGTAATAATCAATACTTAAAAATTAAGTTCATATGTCTACTCAATTCTGAAATGACATGCAACTATTATTTTAAAGCATGAAACCAGCATATATTATTATTCAGGATGAAATACAAT